AAACAAAATTAAAAAAAAACACAATCCTTAAATGTGGCAGAAAAATCAGTTAAGTGGACGAAATTAATGCGGGATTAAGTAATTAATAACACTCATTCGACCAATGACTCACATACGCACTCATCCAAACACAAAAACAAATACGAAATACACACTCGAAAAACAAATAAGGTCCCGCATCTACCAGAGAACTGACATCTCTGTCACGTAACAAGGAAGAGGAGGGAGAATAAACTAAAGAAAGAGGGGACAAAAATAAAAGAAGCTAATGAGCATTCGTAACGGAAAGTTAATAAGAACAATTACAATTAAAGTATTTATAGAAAAGACACAGGGAAGCTAGATTAGGGCGCTGGGAAAATGATTGAAGTCAAGATGCCAGGTCAGGACAAATAACACTGCAGATTCTTTGAATTTTATTAAGAATCCCTAAATATACAGCAGGAGCACCAGACTATATATGCCTGCAATATTCTAAGCATGAACGAAAGGAAGACGTATAAATATACATACATTTTATTGTATTTTCTTACAGAAGTATATCGTTATTATATAATATAAATTATCTATGAAATATTATCAACTAACGTTGGCATCTGTTGATCGGTTTCTTAATACGTAACCAAGACCTAATTGTTGATTACGGCCGCGTATCCTGAAACTCTTTGGCATCTGCCGCAGCCCGGCATGTAAGTGAACACAAAATTTCATCCCATCCATCCATTCATCTATCCAGAGTTGAACCCAGTCTCTTTCCCCGTCTCTCCTTCATCTACATCTCTTCTTATTTTAAACTTCTTTTATGTGTACGAAACAGAGCTTCCATTCAGGAAGCCATCTCGAGTCGGAAGAGCGCGTGTCTTCCTCCGACTCACGACTCAACTGTAACTACGATTTTCTCTCTGATTTTTCATTTTTGATTCTCTGTTTCTTTTTTCTTTTCTTTTTTTTCACTTCTCTCTCTTCCCTTTTTCTTCTTTCTTTCTTTCTTTCTTTCTTTCTCTAACCTTCTTCTTTCATTTCTTTTGTCCTACATCTTCGCTACCCTTTTTTCTCCTCCCCTTCCTAAAGCCTCTCCTCCTTCATCCATAACGCCAACCATGAACCGTTCTCGATAACGATTGGTTGATTCCTCGGTTGTGTCTCTCTCGGATTGCACACGAGTGTAAGAGAAGAAAAAAGAGAGTGCGAGGAGGCGGGGGGGGGCTTCTTCGTATGTGTGTATGTGTGTGTGTGTCGTTTTGCTTTGTACAAATCGACCGCCAAGCTTATCTACTCTTAACCACTGTCACTGTCTCGAGAACCGCATCGTAGATCAATAAACACGCTACAACTGAAATTACTACAGCTACTACCTCAACTACAACTGCTATTACGACAGTGACTGCTACAGTTACTATAACCGGTTTACCTCAATTTTGACTACACTGCATTTAGTCGATTCAACGAGTAAAAATTTGTGGTATAATTTACTTGATTACTGCTTCAACGTCTCAACAGACAAAGATTCACCTGAAAATTCAAAAATTTCAATTGAGACTACAGGCATTACTACTAATTTTATTACTACAACTATTACTACCACTACTACTACTACTACTACTAATAATAATAATAATAATAATAATAATTACTGACATTGTATTTGTTTTTACTGTTGATATAACATTACAATGCGATCAATAAATCAGTATCCTGGTACGTCTCGTATTTAGCTGAATTATGGTCGGAAAATTTTCACTAAAAAAAGGGCACTACTGCTTAGGATCTGAAGGAATACTTTGAAATTTCTGAAACACATAAAAAGGAAAGAGGGCTTGGAGAATTTGACACTCGCAGGACATATGGGGAAGAGGGAAACTGTAATAAAGCTAAATAGCTTGTGAAAATAGATAGCAAAACAAGGACCGGGGGTCAGTGAAGGGAAAAACATGGCTTAGGATAGGAAGTTCTGGAGAGCCATGATAACCAATCTCCTACAGAGAAACTCTACATAAAGAGAAGAATAATGATGTGTGATTAATGGTTAACTGTATTTACAAAGAAAGGAGATCATGTTGAAAAATAAAATTATGTAAAATAAACGGATTTTTCATCATTAGGCTCCGGATTTACTGATACACCGACGTACTTTCTATGTCTCTTCAATAGATGTGAGATGGTACATGATAAGGATTTGCTTGTTGGTTTTATAAAGTCCATAATGGAACCGCTAATTAAGAAAAAAGAAAACATTATGTTTAAGGCTACATATATACACACACGTGTAAATACATGTAGAAGAGGGTGGTTTTCTAATCATATATGTACTTAGCTGAATTTTGATCTGATATTTTCACTCGTTTATATTTAATCTTTGGGATTAATATTCGCTAGTGAATGAAGTGCAATGATAATGACTTATTTTGTGTCGATTGATTCGTTTTCCACGGACTACCAACCCTTTGCAGGTTATTTAAAGACAGAAAATACCTTTTCTTTTTTTATATTGTAAAAATTGCGATGGAGAAATAATAACGATTTATGGATACAAGTGTTACTAATTAGCTGAGGGGGAAGAGATGGATTCATGCCTTTTCCAAATGTATTTACGCATAAGGAAATATAACGAACCCCACTGGAACTGAAACTCGGATCTCCGATTGACCATTCCGAACCATTATCCCTTACACTACCCGCACATCCAAGCTTATAGCACCTAGTATTCTAAAATTGTCACCCATCTAGGTACTGATCAGGATCGACGTTACTTAACTTTAGTAATCGTACGAGAAGCGCTGTTTCAAAGTGATATAGCCGTGCGCCTTGACGAGGAAGGAAATTATGCTAAAAATAAAGACATTTTATGCATTTTTTCAGTATTAGGTCGCATCTTTATGGCTATTCTTAAATAGTTTTGTAATGTCTGCTACACTGAAACGAGTGTATGTGTTTCTGGGGCCTGGTATCGGCATTTAAAGCGAATGTCGTAACAGCTGAGAATTGGTAAAATGTCGAAAAGATTTTAAGAAATCTTTTCTCTGATTTTTTTTTTAATAAGAATAATGTCAAAACGCCATCTTTTTAACGGTGTTAATATTCCAGGTAATATTTGGTAAAATGGTAAAAAAAAATATTAGATTAAACAAAGGACAAAAGATAAATTCTGAGCCAAGTAATAGATAATTGTTAAATAGCCGAATTCTATCTTCAAGACGAACGGTTTATACTAAACTCTATGAGGGAAATTGTAAATATATCTAAGAATTCTATTAATCATCTACAAGTGCCAAAACGTATTTGAACTCAGTAATCATATCTTAAAATACACCTTCACGCATTCATTGGATCACGATGACAAATCCAATGTATTTTGTAGCTAAATCTGAAGACAGCTACTGCGCTTACAATATCACGTGATTCCCACAACTGACAATCTCAGCGCTATGACAGCTGTTAGCCTTGTAAGATATTGCATCTTGTGACACAAATATTGTTATAAAGTTTAACAATGAAATGACCGAAGCAAATACTCGGTTCTAATTAGAGAGCAGCTTTTGGCATAAAACAGACATTATTAACGTTAGTTTTAGGAATATATCTTAGATTAGACATCGGACTTAAACCTCAAGGTCTGTGGCTCGAATACCTTTCACCCATTTTATGTAAAAAAAAAAATAGGTATAGCCTTGTAGGGGGATATTATTACATGTGATGTGTGCTTGATTTGACGGCGTGTAAAAGAAATATATCCTCCATACATTTATATTATTCTTCATCAAAATGAACAGGAAAGCATAAATACAAAATTGAGAAAAGACAAAGAGTAATTTGGTTGATAAACAATTTTCATTATATTGTAAAAGGGTTTACAATCGCGTAGAATTTTGATTGAAATCTTGTAGTTTGTTGAATTAACGTTTAACTAAAATCATGTGTGTGTTTGATTCATGCTTGCAAGTTTAACTCAGAAGTTTTTGATTAAAGTTTCCAAAAGCAGAATATATCAGCAACATTTTTAATTAAAAATTAAACTGTTTGTTTAAAACAACAAATTTACAGCTTTATTTGTCTATAAAGAAACATAAACATCTAAAATCAAACGAGGATATATCGAAATGTACGTTTAACAGAATTATAGTTTCTGTCACAATTTCTGGAGCTAGAAGCTGTCATGAATTAAACTATTTACATGTGGACTATTATCTTTATGTTTGTTGTTGTTATCACAACGTTTCGACCGTTGTGCCCTCCGGCCTTCATCAGGTGTATACCGATCTGGGTAACCTACAGGGAACACTGAACTGAACCCTTTATTCAATCTACGAGGATCATCTGTTCTAGTTCCTCTAACCATGTCTAGGAATGTCTCGTCTAGTTCTTATTTTTAGTACTGCTCAGTTATTGCTCGCTCTGTAGGTTACCTATATCGATATATTATTGGAATTCTGAACTGAACCCTTTATTTAATCTATGAGGGTAAACTGTTCTCGTTCTGCAGCACATATCCAGGTATATCTCGTCTAGTTCATATTTTTAGTACTGCTCGGTTATTGCTCGCCCTTTTTCCACTGAATTCAAATACACACTGCCCGGACCAGGGATTGAACTCAAAATCACTATGTCACAAAATTCACGAACCAATAATTTAATCCATTAGACTGTCGTACACGGACAATGTATGTATTCTACATATTCAGTTATAAATAAATAAATAAATAACTCTTTGATAATAGCTATGTTATTGTTTTTGAATAAATAATTCATTTTCTACAGCTTATTAGCTCTTTGAAGGTTATTTAAAGCCAGAAAATATTTTTACATTGTAAGAACTTTTTTTTAAATAAAAATTGTATAATGATTACTAATTAATCAATAGCGGAAAGGGGAAAGGTGGGTTCATGCGTTTCCAAAGGGTATTTGCGCGTAAGTAAATATAAGGAATCCCACAGGAATTGGAACACTGCTCTCCGATGTACAATTACAAGCATTTAATCATTGCACATCCCATACACCAAAACTTACGGCACCTGGTATTCCCCAAGCGGGCACTGCTCGAGGTACTAACCAGGCTCAACGTTGCTTAACTTTGGTCATCGTAGAGGAACCGGTGTTTCAATGCGATATAGCCGTAAGGCTAGTTAGTAGATTAGTTGAAAACCGCTTATATATATATATATATATATATATATATATATATATATATATATATATAATTTATTTTTAGGATATTAAAACAAAAGCATGTTAAAAATCGCTACATAATTGCAGTTATATTTTAACACTACAAATGTGTCTCCTCGGACTTTGGTAAACTCCTGGCCAGTAGTTTGCCATCGCCCGAGGAGACATATATATATTCTGGTGCCCCCGCTGTTCATCTCGGGGTTCTAGACAAAATCCAAAGACGGATATGCAATGTGATCGGTCCTAACTTGGCATCTCGATTCCAGTCACTTGCTCACAGACGGGATGTAGCTTCCCTCTGTCTTTTTTATAAATATTTTCATGGCATCTTTTCTGACGAGCTATTTTCCCTGGTGCTCCGACTGCATGAATTTAAGCGTGCTGCTAGGTTGGTATCTCGGTCCCACCCTTTTACTGTTGAAACAGTTAAATATAACCGCATCTTCTACTCCAACAGCTTCTTCTCGACAGTGGAACTCCCTTCCTCTTACTTGCTTCCCTGGTAACTAAACCTCTTAAAAACTTTAAATGTAATGTCAATTGACATCTTCTGATGTCTTGATCCCCGTTCTTTTTACCCTCCTCCGTTCTTCCTTTTTATCGTCCCCACCCTTTTATACACAGCATTTTCTCTTACTTTCACTCTCTGTAGCTCTTTGCGTACTAGTGGTACTGTTTTTCATGATGACGGTCGTCTTTGAGTATAGAATCCAGAGGTTAGCAGTGAATATTTCGAAGACAGAAGGAAAGCGTTGTTCAGGTTAGGAGTGGATATTTTGGTAAAAGTAGCAGAGCGTAGTTCTTCCTTCTGTTTCTCTTCGCATGACAAGCTGGAACTGGACATTCGGGTAGAGTAAACAAAATGGCCGCCTTTATACACGACGGATTGAATATTCTACGTCTTCTGATTGGTTAACCTTCTATTGGTGGACTATAAAGTGAGTCAAGGCATTTGGACTAACTCACTAGTATACATACACAAAAAACAGCAACAGGTACTACCGCCTTGCTTGGGGTGAAATGCTTATAAAAAATGTATGTATATAAATTCTCTATTCACAAAATCTACGGTTACGTATTTTAAGACGTGATGCTCTAAAAATATATGACTACTTTTCAAAAAGGTAAATCAATATGCGGATGGCGTAATGGTTAACAATCCTCTGTGATGGTAATGGGTGTCGTCAGCAAAGCAAGGAACTAATCATGTAGTTCCCCTTGTTCGCTGATCAATGTCACCCATATGCAAATTGAATGTTCAGTTGATGGACGTACCGAACACGTGTTCTAGAAGAAATCTGCACCTTGCTACCTGACCCACACGACCCAGGGATGGCTGGCCAAGAATTTTAACGGTCATGTTGTCCTTAGTATTTGGCCTCCTACATCTCCCAATTTGAACCGCTTGTGATCATCTGTGCCTGCCATGTTGCCGAGAGGGAGAACAATCACCAGACACACGATACCAATGACTCGTTGAAGGCGGTCATCGTGAAAATGATGGCTGACATGAACGAAAACCACCTGATCCGGGCATCCAGTCGCTCTTATGGCTACATCGTGATCACTCTCGAGGCTGAGAGTGATTCTACTGAATAACTGTTTTTTCTTTTCTTTTTACCTAATTTGAACATGTGTACAAACCTTTCTGAAAATATAGTTTTTTTTTTATCGAATATCTTTGTTTACAGCTTTCTCTTGATTTTTTGGCATATCCTACACACATACATATATATATATATATGTGTGTGTGTGTGTGTGTGTGTGTGTTTGTGTTTTGGGAGCATGTCGTTATTAAGGCATGTGTTATTAAAGACTACGGAACTCTTCCACTTGATGATCTTCTTCTCAGTTTTTTCTTGCTTCCTCGCAAGTTTTCTTAATGCTCGGGTTCAGGTTGTTAAATTAAGATCCCAGCCGATAGTTTTCTGCTGAGCACTTTCGGTTGTCCTCAACTTCATCATGGCGTTTGTTTTTGTTTGTAGACATGTTATTAGTTGTTTTATTTTTATACAGTGTAACCCGGATATAAGAAAAACCCGGATATAAGAGAGATTTTCTCTGGTCCCAAATAAGAGCCTGTGTAAATGTATACATATAGACCAAACCTGGATATAAGAGACTTCTTCTCCGGTCCCGACAACTCTCTTATATCCGGGTTACATTGTAGACAATATTAGACGGTATTGTTGGGTTAGTTCATTATTGGTAAGGAGGAGATTGGTGCTTTTTTATTGGATGATTAGTTATTAAATATGTTTAGTATGTTTCTGCTAGTATTAAATGCTATTTTATTTATGTTGGTATTTTGTTTTTTGATGTAGATCGCTTCCAGAATTTGTAGTCATTTTTTGCATTTGTTTTAAAGAGGATTTTTGCGTTGTTAATTAAGATTTGTGTGTGTGTGTGTGTGTGTGAAATAACCCACAGTGTGTGCTGATGGCAATTATAAAATAGTGTTCAATGTAAAAAGCTAAACTTTTATTAAGGACCAAATTGATCCCGACAATTCCTACGCGGGTGAAACTCAGTGTTACGTTGAACGGTGAGGAACAAAGGTATATTTATTCTTAGTTATTCTTTTTATCTATCTATCTATCTATATATCTATATATCTATATATATATATATATATATATATATATATATTGTGTACTATATAATAGTAGGACAGACTGGGTTCTATAGTCTTTGATGGCAACTGGTCTATCGCAGAGAGAAATGGCAACCTACTGCTAGAAAAATTATGCCTCGTCAGTCATGTATCGAAAGATATTGACTTTTGTTTTGGTTTGGTGTGATTTGTTTAGCGGCATATCAATAATTTATGGGTCATGTGATGCCGAAATTTAATTTTCTTGGGAGCTTTGGTAATTTATTTTCATAAATTACTTCCTGGTATTTTGTGTGTGTGTGTGTGTGTGTGTGTGTGTGTGTGTGTGTGTGTGTGTGTGTGTGTGTGTGTGTGTGTGTGTGTTTTTGCAAAATCTATTGCTGGTAATTTTTTTAGTATGAAAATATATTTTTATACTTTAATAGTGTTTTGACCCTAGTTTTGGGATTCACTATTTGTCCATAGATGGGACCCTAACAGGTGCTACCACCTCTGGTCGGTGTGGACCTGGTAACAACAGCAATTAAGAGGTGATTCCACGCTCCTCAAAACCTCCCGATCAAAGGCCTCGCTGCTGGACGTAGTTTATCATCATACCCAGGTCAATTAACTTATTTAGTTTAGGAAGCAAGAATTAAAACTGGATGATTTTCTTTTATACATAAAAGTAAATATATATATATATATATATATATATATATATATATATATATATATATATATATATATATATAGTACTAACTCACGCGTGTGTTTGTGTGTGTCTGTGTGTGTATGTGTGTTCTACTATATTCGTGATCAAACCTGAGCACCGGTTGAATTGTCGGGTATTTTCTCCTTCCTGAAATGGTGGATATAGTGACATCGTCTGGCAAAAAACGAATTACAACCACTGTAATATCTGACAGACCATCTACTACCACTATCACCACGCCTACGCCTGACCTACCCGTAAAATACGTACATTGACGATTACTAATACAGCTACCATGACTGCTACTATCGATACTTATTTTATACGACATTATTTCTAATTTTTTTCTTCCACAAGAGCTTGTGTAGAAAACAGAGTTAAAATTTTCATTTAATAACAACTATAGCTTTCGAGTTCGAATCTAAACATGGCTATTTGGTCTGAAAGCCAACCAGTGAATACTTACTCCGATTGGAGTGTCTAACTTTGCGTAAAGTCTCCGTTATTTTTTTTTTTTTTCCTATGCAAATATCTGCTAGTAATGTATCGAGTGATAACATTACTACTGTAACTACTTTTACTGCATGTCGTTTCCATCACGCGTCTTTCACGCATATAATTAATCGAAGATTTATCGCAACAACTGGCTATTGTGCGGCTCAGAGTCAACAGCTCGGTAAATACAACGTTGGGCTTATGGCACAAGGCTTTTGGTTCGAATGCTGCCAGGAAAAAAAAGAACGAAAGAAACTAAACTAAGGCCTTTGCCTTTTTCAGTGCCGTAATAAGAGTATTGAACTGTTACGTGTTATCTGTCCTCCTATATGGTAGTGAATGTTGGACAATCTCCTCAACGAGGAAGAAGAGAATGGAAGCAACAGAAATCTGGTTCTACAGAAGGATACAATGGACCGAATGTGTGAACAACGACACTTTAGAAAGTGAGGAAAGAGGGCTTGGAAAATCTGGTATTCTCAGGACTGAAGGCAAGAGGGACAGAGGAAAACAATGCATAACATAGTGAGCTTGAGTAAATGGATGGTGGGACAAGGTTTAGGAGAAATAACAAAAAGACAACATTTATTAAGCTACAAAGGAAATTGTGGAGAGCCGTGATCACCTATATCCTGAAGGGACAGCAAATAACGAAAAAGAAGGAGAATCTACATCCACGGTCAGAGTCTGATTTAGGTCTTAAGTGGCATCTGGGCTGATAAAATTTGTGGGTGCCTTCACGACACATTATAATTTTTGACTTACCCTCGTAGTTTTAAAAATCAACAAAATCGCTAAAAATGGTGATTCTCATAAAAATGTTATTGCCACCAAAACATTGTATATATATATATATATATATATATATATATATATATATAGATAAAATATAGTTTTAATGTATTAATTTATGGGTTAAAGTGCTCAGTATCAGGGATAGAGCGTATGTAAATATAAAAGTGGACACTGAAGTCAACGCTCAGAGGCGACAGTCTGATTCATGCTTATACACAATCATCAGGTCATGCCAATCGTCAGGTTCGATCACTTTTAAATTAAATGTTACGTACAGAGGAATTATACTCCATTTGTTTTAATTTTACCTGTTTCTCTCTCTCTCTCGCTCTCTCTCTCTCTTTCTCTCT